CAGAACAGACCCCGGTTACAGGACACCTGTAACAATTTTTTTATACGACTATACAATACACACAGGCAGAACCCAGACCCGGTTACAGGACATGACCTGTAACAATTTTATACGGCTATACAATACACACAGGCAGAACCCAGACCCGGTTACAGGGACATGACCTGTAACAATTTTATACGACTATACAATACACAGAACCCAGAACCGGTTACAGGGACATGACCTGTAACAATTTTATACGACTATATACCAGCTATGTTTACAGAGACATGACCTGTAAATAATTTTATACGACTATACAATACACACAGGCAGAACTCCAGACCCGGTTACAGGGACATGACCTTACAGGGACCCAGACCTGGTGACCCTGTAACAATTTTATACGGCTATACAATACACACAGGCAGAACCCAGACCAACCAGTTACAGGATATGACCTGTAACAATTTTATACGCTATACAATACACACAGGCAGAACCAGACCCGGTTACAGGGACATGACCTGTAACAATTTTATACGACTATACAATACACACAGGCAGAACCCAGACCCGGTTACAGGGATATGACCTGTAACAATTTTATACGACTATACAATACACACAGGCAGAACCCAGACCCGGTTACAGGGACATGACCTGTAACAATTTTATACGATACAATACACACAGGCAGAACCCAGACCCGGTTACAGGGACATGACCTGTAACAATTTTATACGGCTATACAATACACACAGGCAGAACCCAGACCCGGTTACAGGGATATGACCTGTAACAATTTTATACGACTATACAATACACACAGGCAGAACCCAGACCCGGTTACAGAGACATGACCTGTAACAATTTTATACGACTATACAATACACAGGCAGAACCCAGACACTCCGACCTGTAACAATTTTATACGACTATACAATACACAGGCAGAACCCAGACCCGGTTACAGGGACATGACCTGTAACAATTTTATACGACTACAATACACACAGAGAACTTACAGAGACATGACCTGTAACAATTTTATACATACAATACACACAGGCAGAACCCAGACCCGGTTACAGGGACATGACCTGTAACAATTTTATACGACTATACAATACACACAGGCAGAACCCAGACCCGGTTACAGAGACATGACCTGTAACAATTTTATACGACTATACAATACACACAGGCAGAACCCAGACCCGGTTACAGGGACATGACCTGTAACAATTTTATACGACTATACAATACACACAGGCAGAACCCAGACCCGGTTACAGGGACATGACCTGTAACAATTTTATACGACTATACAATACACACAGGCAGAACCCAGACCCGGTTACAGGGACATGACCTGTAACAATTTTATACGACTATACAATACACACAGGCAGAACCCAGACAGAGACATGACCTGTAACAATTTACGAGGGACATGACATGACCTAAACAATTTTATACGACTATACAATACACACAGGCAGAACCCAGACCCGGTTACAGGGACATGACCTGTAACAATTTTATACGAGGATATGACCTGTAACAATTTTATACGACTATACAATACACACAGGCAGAACCCAGACCCGGTTACAGGGACATGACCTGTAACAATTTTATACGACTATACAATACACACAGGCAGAACAGACCCGGTTACAGGGACATGACCTGTACCTTTTATACGTAACAATTTTACCCGGTTACAGGGACATGACCTGTAACAATTTTATACATGGCTATACAATACACACAGGCAGAACCCGGTTACAGGGACACCTGTAACAATTTTATGCAGCTTACAATACACACAGGGATAGACCCGGTTACAGACCATGACCTGTAACAATTTTATACGACTATACAATACACACAGGCAGAACCCAGACCCGGTTACAGGGACATGACCTGTAACAATTTTTATACGACTATACAATACACACAGGCAGAACCCAGACCCGGTTACAGAGATATGACCTGTAACAATTTTATACGGCTATACAATACACACAGGCAGAACCAGACCCGGTTACAGGGACATGACCTGTAACAATTTTATACGGACTATACAATACACACAGGCAGAACCCCAGACCAATACACACAGGTTACAGGGGACAATTTTACCTGTACACAATTTTTATACGACTGTAAACAATTTTATACACAATACACACAGGCAGAACCCAGACCCGGTTACAGGGATATGACCTGTAACAATTTTATACGACTATACAATACACACAGGCAGAACCCAGACCCGGTTACAGGGACATGACCTGTAACAATTTTATATGACTATTACACACAGGCAGAACCCAGACCCGGTTACAGAGACATGACCTGTAACAATTTTATACGGCTATACAATACAGGCAGAACCCCCGGTTACAGAGACATGACCTGTAACAATTTTATACGGCTATACAATACACACAGGCAGAACCCAGACCCGGTTACAGGGACATGACCTGTAACAATTTTATACGACTATACAATACACACAGGCAGAACCCAGACCCGGTTACAGAGACATGACCTGTAACAATTTTATACGACTATACAATACACACAGGCAGAACCCAGACCCGGTTACAGGGATATGACCTGTAACAATTTTATACGACTATACAATACACACAGGCAGAAACCAGACCCGGTTACAGGGATATGACCTGTAACAATTTTATACGACTATACAATACACACAGGCAGAATCCAGACCCGGTTACAGGGATATGACCTTTTAACAATTTTATACGACTATACCTGTAACACACTATACAATACACAGGCAGAAACCAGACCGGTTACAGGGATATGACCTGTAACAATTTTATACGACTATACAATACACACAGGCAGAAACCAGACCCGGTTACAGGGACATGACCTGTAACAATTTTATACGACTATACAATACACACAGGCAGAACCCAGACCCGGTTACAGGGATATGACCTGTAACAATTTTATACGACTATACAATACACACAGGCAGAACAATCAAAGCTAATCGCCCTGACATCGTGATCAGAGACCACAGAAACAGAATATGCTTTCTTACGGACATGACAGTCCCAGCAATTTGTAATGTATCTCTGAAGATCTTCAAAAAACTATCAAAATACAAGGATCTTAAAGTGGAAATCCTAAAATTGCGTTACAAGAGGACAACAATATTTCCAGTTGTGGCTGTAGCCCTCGGATTGATTGGAAAATGGTCTGACAGACTCATTGAAGGGATTTTTCCTGCTAGCCCATCCCTTAAAGAAATACAAAACAAAATGTACTCACAAGTACAACTCGCACGATTATCTTATCTATGTAAAATGTGCGTGATCTTGTGAGTTTTTTTGTTGTTGTTTTTTTTTTTTTTTATAAAATATGATCCGTGGAAAATGTCATGAAGCCATTTCTAATCTTAGGTCTCTGGTTGGGACCCGGAATGAAATAAAACAAAAATCCAAGGAAATAATAATAATAACAAGAACAAGAAAAAGTAAAAGAACAACAACAACACCATTGAATAAAATTTTCGTTTTACATGTGATTATTTGGGAAAGTAGAAGTGAATAAAAACTCGAAAACATCTGCCACTGTAGCGACAAACTTCCTTTAATGCCAAACGAAAATTCCTCTTACAATAAAGTGAAAAATCTATCACAGCAGGACTGAAATCGATCAAAGTATTTTGATTGAAAACATCACTATAGTGAAGGCCAATGAGTAAATTACAGAGTCTAAAATATATATTGCATTAGTTTTAAGATTTGATTTGCTGTCCTTAAATTTGTGATAAGGGACAAGGTTTCCGTATTTAATTGTCTAACTTGTGTGTATCACAGAAGGTTGTCACTGCCAAAAACCAGATTTATTACAAACGGACAGGCATCGCTATTTATTTACAAGTCTAGAAAAGGAGAATGCAGAATCGTTAATAAATTATCTACCATTTACCTACAAGTATATAAAAGTAACATTTCAAAACCATCTTTAAAGTATATACAACGAGCCTAGAAAAAAGAGAGTTCAGAAGCTAAAAAGAAAGTGTTCAGACTAATTCATAAATAGCAAATACACACAATAGCCTAGAAAAAAAAAGAAATTCCAGAGATTTTCATGAATTACAAACTTATCCAGAAATGTAGAAAAAAGAAGTGTCCAAAACCATTCAGAAATTGTATACAAAACAATCAAAAGGTAAAGAAGAGTTCAGAACCTAATTGATCTACGAGCCGAGAAAAAAAAAGTTTGATTAAAAGACACTGACAGTCCAAAACAATTGATAAACTATGCGTTGAATCAGTTATAGTACAATCCAAATTCTTCTCTTGCTGATAGATTTTTTTTTTACTCCTGTGGCAGTGGAGACTTCTGTGGTCATTGGCCCTCGTTCGATGGCGTTCCTTAGGAAGATTGACACGACTGCGTCTCGATTAAGGGACGAGCCTCGGGAAACAGAGTGGCTCTTGCAGCGTGTCTCGCTGGCGATGGTTCGAGGTAATGCTTTCTCCATCATTGCGGCTGGCAGAGGATAGAAAAAAATTGTTTATAGTTACTTTGTTCTGGAATTGTCATCAATGGTCAACTGAACTTGCTTTGTTTTAATTTTTAAGTAATCTATTTAAAATACAAATTTATGTTTTGATCCGGAACGGTGTCAACTCGTTACAGGATATTGTAATAATATTTGAAACTTTTTGTTATTTTAAATTCCAAAAACCAAGATTTCGAAAGGTTATTTTCAAGGTAAACAGGAGTTCCCTACATGGAATACTGTAGATATGCAATCTTCATATTACTTGTCTCAGTCTAGCCTCAAATTAATAAATTCATCACTGGATGAGTTTCGCAGTAGAGAAATAACTTATTAGTCTCGCAGACTAATGTTGAAAGTTCGGCCCTCCTTGGAAGTTCTTCTATTGTGGCTTTGTGCAAGATAATCTAAGCTGAATAAATATATATATTAGAAAGACACATTCTAGTGGCAAATGTTTAGAATGGTAATCTTTTAAAGATATTGTTGCAATGAGTTTTCTTCAGTGGGTGACTTACGCTTGCTGGATTGTATTAAGCAATAACTACTTTTGTTTTATAACACACTAAAAAGAAATATTAAGCTATAATGATGTACGCACCCCACACACACATATATATATGAGGGTGTGGTGTGTGTGTGTGTGTGTGTGTGCGTGTGTGTGTGTGTAAAGAAACGAATAGATTTTTTATTTAATAATATGACAGATATTTATTACTTAAATGTTATTTTTAGTGGATACTCGTATTTAAGTAGACGCTCCGTTTATTTATTAAAGAGTATATTGATTTATTTTCGTCTACCGGCCTGAATATTCGTGAAATCTTATTAAAGAAAAATATGCGATCTTCAACAGGATTCCAACCTGTGTTCCCCTTGGGAGAACCATCATTAGATCTGACGTGCTTCGACCTCTCAGCTCTAGATTGCGTCGCTGACCAAAGTTGAAAAGTGCCTTTAAGCATAAACTTTTCTCCGACTCTGGAAACAGATTTATCTGCTCAGTTTTGGTCAGCATTTGTAAAGAAACGGGATAGTTTCATCTATTTATTATATCCGGCAGTTTTTTATTATTTAAACATTATTCTTACTGGATACTCGTATTTGAGTAGACGCTCCGTTTATTTATTAAACTGCATATTTATTTATTTTTATCTGTTGCTTCATGTGTTTTGGTTCGACTCTTTATATATGCTGATCAATAGCGCATTATGGGTAGCAAGGTCTATTGCATTATCCTAACTGTTATTGTGTAGGCAGTAACGGTTATGTTTCAAATTATTCTAGGGGCCCAGTGGAAATAATTGTGGATCCAAATGCACTTATTTGTAGCTATATTTTAGTTTTGTTTGTTAACATTTTTTACTGATTAGTTATAAATTGATACCTTTGTTACTTATTGTTGATTATGGTTATTATATTTACATGCGTTTATGTGTGCATTCGTAGATTTTTTTATTATTTACTTAATTTGTTTACTTATTGTTGTATCCTTAAAGAGGTTACAAACAGACAAAGGTGGTACTCGAGTGAAGGAACAGCAACACGCGCGTAGATGAAAGAAAGAGAGGTTTACTGTAAAAGAGAATACACTACTGAAGGACAGGGAATCGGATGGCAGTCTAATAATCCCCGAAGCAAGCTCCCAGGTATATCATGTGCTCACTATATATATCTACTAATAGAGTCAGTCCACGATAGACGATAGGGAGTGTGGGACAATTCATTACAACACTTATTCATTGATTTAAATTTTTATTTTTATTTTATTTAGCTTCTTTCTTTCTTTTTCTTTCTTTTTTCTCATTAGTTTGCGATTTTTAAATGCCGTAATAAAAATATTGTTTTTGTGTCGGCATTTTAAGATCAGATCAGATCGTTTGTGTTTGGTAATTTGTTTGTGCTCCGGGAAGATAATTATAGCTACCTTCTCTCTCTCTCTCTCTCTCTCTCTCTCTCTCTCTCTCTCTATCTATCTATCTATCTATCTATAGATATATCTCTCTTTCTCTCCCTCTTTCTCTCACTCTCTCTCTTTCTATCTATCTTTCCTTCTCTCTCTCTCACACACATTCTCTATCTATCTATCTATCTATCTCTCTTTCTCTCTCTCGCTCTATCTATTTCTCTTTCTCTATATATATATCTGTCTATCTATCTATAGATCTCTCTCATCTCTATCTATCTATCTCTCTCACTATCTATCTCTATTTATCTATTTATAAATATATCTCTTTCTCTCCCCCTCTCTTTCTCTCTATCTATCTTTCTTTCTCTCTCTCGCACACACATTCTCTCTCTTTCTCTCTATCTCTGTTTCTCTTTTCTCTCTCTCTCTCTCTGTATCTATCTATAGATATCTCTTTCCCTCTCTCTCTCTCTCTCTCGCGCGCGCGTGTGTGTGTGTGTGTGTGTGTGTGTGTGTGTGTGTGTGTGTGTGTGTGTGTGTGTGTGTGAATTACAGGAATCGTACTTAACTACTAATCTCTTCAGGAAAAAATGAACAAGAATACACAGTGTCAATTGCATCACAATTATCTGCGGAAAAATAATCATCGAATCGAGTTTGAATTCAGCTTTGAGTTATTTAAGCCAATCTCACTTTAATGCCTTCCATCAGACGTGGATACACATCTGTGTGCGATGTCTCATTGCTAGATATCTTATAAAATATCTTGTACCTGGTATGATATGGTGGGAAACGGCTTGGGTAAGTGTGCACTTGAGCAAGTTACTCTCCCATGGCAACATTATTACCGAGACAGTAACTATAAAAACCTGTTACATACATTGTTACACACCTTAAAAGTGTAATTTCAATTGCAAAATTCGAGATTGGAAACAGGTTTGACCATTCTAAAGAATAGTACTTATTTTCACTTACATTCATATCCACATATATATAATATATATATATATATATATATATATATATATATATATATATATATATATATATATATATATATATATAGGGAAATATTAAGTAGATGTACAATTTTTTATATAACAACCTTAACAGCCAGAGAATTTGCATAAATTACCATTGAAATTAAATGAGTTAATATGTGTGATTTTGGCTGGCCGCAACCAATCCCTGTTGCAGACTTCTACTCAGGCATATTTGTGATTGTTCAACCCCCACAGAGGCCACCTGTGATTTATACTACCATTATGCTGAGTAGATCTTAGTTCTCTCTGGGAGAGAGTGCATTATGTGGGGTGACCAAAAGCCTGAAAAAGGCCAGTACACTCACAATCTCGATTGCGATGATTTGTGACTTGACGTCATACACATGAGTTTATATATATATATATATATATATATATATATATATATATATATATATATATAATTTTACAAACACATATATATATGTACTTATACACATGTATAGATTATATATGTATGTACGCATACATACATCTATTCAGATACATATATACGCATGCATACAGTGGCCTAAGAAAAGATTTTAGCCAGGAGAAATAAAATACATCTAATTTCAAAATTTAATTACATATTCCCAACTCAACTTAAATAAACAGTATTTGGAACCAGTATAGAGTGGGTCCTCCATTTGCTAGTTTCAATTCTTGTATTCGATGTTTCATGGATTTGATCAAATTATCAGCAATCATCTGATCCATATTTTAGCAATGTTTCTTTAAGGGTTGCCATTGACGTGATTTTGGTTGCACGCTCTCGAAGTTTTCGGTGAAGGTGCTCCCAAACGTACTCTACTGGATTCATGTCAGGTATTTGAGCTACCCATGGTAGTGACTTGATTCCTTTCGATTCCTTCCAGGCCTTTGCTACTTTGCTCGTATGACATGGTGCCCCACTTACTTGAAAAATGTAAACATTCTTGTCAGTCTGATTGGTTTCAAATAGTACGAGTAGTCTTTTCTCTAATATTTGACAGGATTTTGAACCATTCAACCGCTCGTCAACAAGAATCAGCTCAGATTTCCCTCCAAACCAGACAACGCTCCACACCATTACTCCAATCCTTCCATGTTTCACGGTCGCCTGCAGACATTCAGGGTTCCAAGTCTCATTCTGATTTCTCGAATATTGTCAGAATTTACATTCATCTGACCAAATTACAAACTGCCAAAATTCATAATCTTTTCTCTCGAATTCTCTCGCCCAATAATACGCCTGTTCCTGTTAACCTCTGAAGTCAAGGGCTTCTTTCTTGCAACTCTTCTTTGATAGCCTAGCTCTTTCAGAGTCTTTCTCACCGCATATGACGACATTTCCAGGCTGTTGGCGACATCTTTGACGCTCTGCCGACAGTTTCTGATGATTCCCCGTTTAGCGCACTTTCGTTCGCTCAGACACGATGCTTGGTCTTCCTGGACGTTGTTCCACATGGCAATGGCCTTCTTCATTAAATTTCTTGACAATATTATTAATCTTTTGATGATTAACCTGGAAAAACCTAGCAATTTCTCAATCTGATTTGCCCGCGTTGAAATTCACTAATTTCCTTACTTCCACGAACTTTCATTGCAAAATATAAGTCAACTATCGTTCATAGATGAGAGTAGCTTGATACTAGCACGGTATTGTCTGAAAAAAAGAAGAGATGTTATTACACAAACCAAAATTGCTGTAAACAAGGCTGGCTAAAAACTTATCATAGCCCACTGTATATATAGATACATATAATAACAATTTACATACCTAACTTACGGACCATTATTTTATGGACAGGTATCTTCGTCTAAAATAGAAAAGATTATTTGTAGATTTAATAACTTGTTCAATAGATTTTAGTAATTATGTGGCAACATACATTTATAAATATTTTACATAGAAAAATGACATAGTGAATAGTTTTTTTAATTATTTCCAAATATTATTTGCTCATCAGTCGATTAAAACATTATCAGGGATGTCACTTACTAAATTATAAGGCAATTTCAGTTTAGTAAATTTATTAACAGATAATATTAGGTCGTTACTTGATACCGATCCATTTATTTATCTAATAAAATTCCTCTTGAACTTATTGGAAAGAATATTACGGTATAGATAATATCTTGGAGTATTAAATATGCCTAAAATATAATATAAAATATAGCTCACAAAATGAGACTGCTGCATTGGAGGTGAACTTGAAACTGTTCCAATTCAACTGTAATTTTGGACTAGATGTTTAATCTGTTGACTTGGAATTCATAAAGAAATCTTATTAGAAAAAATAGGTTCGAATCCTGTCGGAAAATGCATTTTTTTTTAATAAATTTTCTCGAATATCGAGGCCGGTAGACAATAATAAATAAATAAACTGTTTAAGAAATAAACGGAACGTCTACTAAAATACGAGTATCCACTAAAAATGAAGTTTAAGTGATAAATATCTGTCAAATTAATAAATAAAATACATTCCTTTATATATATATATATATATATATATATATATATATATATATAATAAAATTAACAAATCGGAGACTTCCGAAAGCCATAGTAATATTTTATTTCGTGAGAGATAAAATTCGATTTCGCTTCGTATATATATATATATAGAGAGAGAGACAGACAGACAGACAGAGACAGCGAAAGAAATACTTTCGACACATACCTCCCAGAAATACTTCTTATTGTCTTACTATTATCTTCTGCACCTATATATATATATATATATATATATATATAGATAGATAGATAGATAGAGAGAGAGAGAGATAATAGGATAATATATATATATATATATATATAATAGGATAAATCAAAATTGATGAAGAACAAATGTGTATGTCAAATGACATAATACCTCGGTAATGCGACGTACTTCCGGTATAGTTCACCGAGGTTCTTCATTCCTTCCGGGAGGAACCTTTTCAGTTGTTCACGAAGCCATCTACACAGCTTGCTTGTTTGAATGCCTAACGTGCACAAACTTTACGGTCCCCAAAGTCATCATGCACAGTGGCTTGTTCAAATCCACAGCTAATGCCCATGATTGTCATTTCTTGTGCTAACATGATTTGTTGGTCTTCACTGATCAAGGCATCCACGCTCTGGGTGTGTTCTGTACGTGATGTTGAATGGCGACCAGATCTCGTATGACCTCGTCGCTTCTTGTCACTCGATGGAATGCTACACACAGCACACTCGTAATTTCTCGTGTTAGCATCTCCCTGTTGTTTTTACTGCTTAATTTCAAAGTTGTCGTTACTTTATCTGTTTCATTTCTTTTTTCTGGACACCAATAGCATTAGAACAGGCATTATTACGATCATTATTACAACTTGTTACTGCCTTGTTTTAATTTAGTAAACGCGTTCTTGATGTGAGTACCTCTTGTGAAAACAGAAGATATTTAGAACCCAAAGCGTATAGATTTACGATTTTATTCGAGTATTTCCCACACATGTTTCATGATCGTGTGCTGATCCACACTTTTAAATCGAGAATAAACAAACTCAATTATCGACATTGTTTCACAGTTTTTTTGTTTTAATGCCCCATTCAAAGGAACCAGTTGCTCATTATAACATTATACCGGAAATTTTATCCAGGCGCAAGCAATTTGTAATAAAAAAAAATTATCAACGAAAAATAAAAGGAATATTTTCCCATTAAATTCTGTGATGGTTATGTTAAATTCACTTTTCATGGTCAATGACGATCTTCTCAAAATATGAGTTTTTACAGATAATAGAAGATATAGTCAAGTATTTAAATACTGACCGATGTTCGTTTCCCTAAGTTCACTTAGAACCTATTTTAGTTAGTTACTGAATTTTAAGTAAGGATTATAAATTACATACGACAATTGATTGATTACACAGATAATGACCTAAATATATTTCTCGGAAAAGGTGGAAAATTTTGCATCAAAATAATAGAATCTATCCTCATTTTCGCACTCGTACGTGATAGACATAAAATATCATTAATTATGTAATATGCTTCTTTTTCAAATCACGTCTTATCTGCATTTTCTCTTCCGCACAAAGCTGTGACTCATATCTGCTCCTTCACGATTCCATACTCTGGGGAATCTCTACTGTTCTATTATTAGCCTACACAAATACTTGGTGGGGGAGAAAAATTTGGCGCTGAAAGTGTTAACGCTGCAACTAAGCTTAGCTTGGTCTAACTGAGGCTTATAATAGGAGAGTTGTCCGTGAGGATGAAACACACAACACTTATGAATGACTCTAGAGAAAGGAGTTAGCTACACATGACTCAGCGTCAAAAACATAGGAATATATTTTATTTGATTATCGCTCGAGTGAACTGAATGGCACTTTTTAAGAATGTGAAATGATCCAAATCTCTATATTGTTCGCAGAGGAACCTCTTGATATTGTATCGTTTAATTAAATTAACTAGATTAATATCAACAACGAAGACATCCTAAAGGTATTGTTTTCTTTACAACTATCTGTTTTTACACAGTGGACTAATACTAAGGGATATAGTCTCGCAGGCCATTATTACAGTACTTAGTTTAGTTCTTACTGTGAGACAAAATTAGTTTTAGTGTTGTGACAGACTGAAGAAATCTCGGTAACTGTTACTACAATA